TGAAACTTATTCTCAACTCTGACGCCTACATCCTGTCATTGCCTAGCCTTCGCTCCTTTCCCAACCAGCGCCCAGTTTCCGGATGCGCAAGGCCACGGACAAGCGTTGGTCTCGCTGACAGAAGCGCCATCTGACTGGGCTCCATTGCAATGCGACAAAGCCCCGCTCTCAGACTGACTGGGAGTCTAGGAAATCTCCGCTCCTCTCTCGCCATTCCGTCATTCTCAATCCCCACGAAGAATTACAAAAAAAACGTTTTCATAATAAATTTTGATAAACATCTGAGGTATTAAGAGGACTGCTTTCAGAATTGTTCGATATTCTATGGGGAAAGGGCTTTCAGTGGATTTGCTCATATGTTTGATTGAGGCAGTTGGTGAAAATTAATGCGATCCCGAGAGGAAGCGGAGCCTTAATTTTTTTTTTCGGTTTTACAACACATCGTCTCTTATCGATCTTCTTCCTCTGTACAGCAGCAATATACAGTATCTATATGGGGGTTGTCTCTCCTCCTTCTCACTTTTTATCAGTAGTGGATGCTGAATGGCGAAGAGAGAGGAGGCAGCAAAAAAAAAAACAGCAGTAACCACAATTTTTTTTTCTTGTAGCGAAATTCGAATATCAGGTGTGATCTTCCAAATGGACTCCAGGGAGACCTCTTTAAAATTTGAAAACTAATTGCAGAATGCCAAGTCTTAATTTTCAAGAGCAAAAATACTCCGGATCTTTGCGTTTCTTAATGCTGTATTTTGCAGTTAATATTTTGATGTATGCATTTATACAGTATTCAAAAACACTCTAAATACCAGTCTTGATTTGTCTGTCACCATTTGGCCTATTAAGAAATAAGCCAATTTAGCGGCATCACTGGCAACCAAGATTTTACCCTACCCCTACAAAGTTCACACAACTAACGCTAGATAACGCCAAAGTAGTCACTATAGCGAGGTCATACAGCTGGAATTAGTCTCCAATACTTTCCTTGCGGTGCCCTAATCTCAACCTAGTTGTCGGAAAATTCGTGATCAATATGTCTTTATTTCTTCTTTGATGGAAGTGAGTTTTGTATCATTCGAAATCCTAGACCATTCTTAACAACTGCTGTTAAACCTGACGGTTTGTGCATACTGATTGTGAGGGTTTTAGAAAGAGAAGGTGTATGCTACAAAACTCCTAACATCCTTGACCTCATCAACGCCATTCACTTAGTCTTAGTCTCCGTCCAAACTGGGGGTGAGGTTTCTGGGATGCAGGGATTAAAAGCTGATTCAATCTTTTTTGTCACTGAAATTGGTTCCCATTCTGATCATGACACGTACTGCATCGCCAGGGAAAGTCACTCACTGCTTTCTGGCACATGTCCAAGCTTATGGCATTCAGTTTGGTGGAAATGGCGCTAATGAGTTCAGGGATGTTAAGGGTTTTGTAACAAAAACTTGGGGCGGGGTTTCTGGGACGCCCTGTACAGTATATACACGGTGAGGCAAATAAAAAAGCCCCGCTCTTTGAAAATTTGTGGCGCCTCTGAAACAGCAGCTAGCACAACGAAGTTTCTTTCATGCACACCTCTATCCATCCCTTGAGCATCTGAAAATGTATGCCTATTCATCTCAAGCTGTTTTAGCAGACCAGTGATTTTACGAAAGCAACTGGAATGTCACTTTGTACGCTCACACCTGGAAACAGACGGGTGAACTTACCCCACTGACTAGGAATTACAATTCTTTCAAAGGCTTTTTTTTCCTCCGCACTTCAGAATCTGCTGAGCAGACTTTTGAGTTTTTCCCCCATGTCAGACAATTTGCAGGTGGATATTTTGCATCTCAGGATCATCATCTCGAGAAACAAAATAATTCTTCCACATGAACGCAGTCTCCTGCAGTTCCGGCCGGTTTTAGTCTTCCGCTTCTTCTCTTCCTCTCAGATAAACGGGTTTCTCGCAGCTTGAGAATCGGTCACTTAACGATGGACCTACATTTCTATCATTCCAAACGAGGAAATTCTTGCAAAATTCTGGTCCCACCCCATCCTTCCGTGAAGAGCAGCAATTGCATGGGCTGACGGAGGAGCCCTGGCCCGAGAATGATGCGCTCGACCTCTACCAACAACTCTTGCGCCGATATGCTTCCTCACCCAAAAATTAAATTCGAGGTGTCTTCGCGTTTTCGCTCCTGTGCTAAAACGGCTGGAGAAAAATGAAGTAGAAATTTAGAACGTTTAAAGGATACGTAGAAGTTATGACAAAAAAAACTTTGCCTTGCCATCTATTTTATGAACTTCAAAGAAACTCAGAGAGCTGCACGTTTTTTCTGCCTCAACCGGTAAAAGACACTGCTAGGAAAAAAAAAAGTTCCTTTGTCTTCTGTTAGTAAATGAAGTAGTATGAAATATTGTGCGCGATTTGATCACGGTTGGAATCTATGCCGAATCGCTTACCTCTTCCCATTAATCCAAATCGCCCTTAAGGGATTCAAGACGGAACTCCCCACCGACAGACATCAAAGCTTTGGTCCAAGCCTCATGGATCGTTATTCCTTTCCAGCAGCACCATCTGTCACTGCACGGAGGTTCGTAGTGGTGGGCATGGCATCCCCGCTTCTTGCTTCGGCATGACACCAAAGTGTTGCGGAGGCGGCTGCAGGAAGTGGAGCAAAAGCATCGTCATTTTCTGTTTTATTGAAATTATCATGATTTCTCTCGTTCTCTTTCCTCCAGGTACTTGAATCTGACCTGAGATTTCAATCAGATCACAGTTACCATTCCCGTGAAAGGCGAAAAGAATCAAATTGCGAATATATAAAGATGTGAAATTTGATCCAAGTCACAATATAGAAGAGCTTCTTATGAAAACTGAACCAAACTCGAATCGAATCCTTCAAATTCAAATGAAATTAAATCGCCTTTTTCCATATATATATTTTTCTTCAATAGTAATGAAACCAAATTTGTTTGAATCTCTTGCTTCTGGAAAGAGATCCTGGTATACTCTAACAGTTCAAATGCAATCCTGGCTCCGCGATGCGTTGTGTTGATCAGCATCTGAAGGGAAAAATAATGGACGAAAGTATTAAAATCTTTTTACCCTGACAGTTGAAGTTCTCATGATGCTATTCTCATCTCTCTGGAATCGAATCTGAGAGTGGAAAAGCGATTTCCGGATGTTATTGATAATTTGCAAGTCAAATCGGAATAGCTAGGCAGCATTTTATTGGACTATCCCCGGTTTCTTCCGAAAATAGTCAACCTTAATGAAGATAGACATTGCCTGGAATGAAACTTGGGATTGATTTTTATTGCATTGAAGTGTTGTCCATTGCAACTGAGGGTGAGTGGGGCATTTTTTTCGAAGATCTGCTGGACAAATCCGAAATTCCGCCTAAAATCCACTCGACAGCGAAACAATAGCATAACCATAGAGATATAATTTCGTAAAAGACAATGAAAAAATGAAAGTTTTGTTTCTTGCTCCCGGTGAAAGTAGGATGATATTTCCTGGCATTTCGCAAGAAAAAATCATTGCATTGAATGCACTTTGACCAAGCATAAACAATCTGAAAGTCTTGACAAGTTCTTTTGTGCACCTGACAAATATTCTCATCGTGTTAACAAATAAATATCCTCAATCATAGTCTGTCTCACTTCTAATCCGTTACAGATGAGACTCGGGACCTAGGGAATTAGGGACAAGGAAAAGAAAGACAATTTTATGCAAATTGGGGAGTTCACACGTGGGCGCAATTGCAAGCTGCGAGCGTGGAATGGAATCGGAAATGGTTAGTTAGTCCTACGAATTTTACTACACAGCGCTTTCGTGTCTTATAATTAGTTACTATTTATGCATTAATTTGATTAACCCCTCCAGCCAGTATCCCGAATACGTACTCGCGCTCTACTGAGTTTGAGTCCAAAGAATATTCTCACGCCATCTATGTGACTCTTCAGTTACTATTTGTCAGGCATGTTCATCAGACTGTACACTTTCAGAAGTACGAGGTTGGGTTGCTTGCGAAAAATTAATGGGGTTATGTGAATTGAGGAGTTAATCGTGCTTGTCAGAGAAAATTGATCTCATTTCCTCAAGGTCGTGTAATTCACAATGATATCACAGTACACCGACAGCATTCCACCGTCACTACTATATCGTCACCTCAAAGGTTCTATGTGACAATGTTCCTAACTTGAGAGATAGAGGGTCGAACTTCAGAGGATTTTGCAAGTTGTACATGACATTATTTGCCGAAGTTAATGCTTGTAGTAGACATGGTACTTCGTGAAGACTTGCAATGTAAGACTTAATTGCCTCAATGCATTTCAGTTTCTGCACATTCTATCAGGTTGTAAGTGAGATCGAACCATGGAGCCTCCTTCATAGGTACTTCCTCTTGGAAGGCCTATGATAAAGGGTTCTATCTGATCCCAACAAGATCTTCCAATTATTCTCCTCCGAAATTAGTTCGAAATTCAGCCTCCTGGCATGTGGTCAAGAAACAGAAGTATAGATGATCGATATACATGAATATACTTTATTTCAGTATTCAGCCCGAGTCATCATAGTACATCATCTGACACTACCAGGTTTACGTTCTATTCAACGTTGTACATCTTGTCCACTTTAGGCATCTGGGCATACGATATCCAGGTTCTTCCCAATACTGAGACTCCCCCCACAAATACTACGCGAATTTTTGGCCAGTTGTTCAGGGAGACGTGCACCTTGCCTTGTATTTGGTATATTGCAGATGCTGACATTGTGAAAGACATTATCACCATGAGACAACTTAAACATAACTTCAAATGGTCCTCGAGTGAACCGTAGCAGAAGAACAGAACTCAGAGATTCTGCTGTGAAGTTAACGTCATGTTAAAAGGGAGGAAAATTGTATGTATCGTTCGATAAGCTCATCTTTTACATAATTGCAAAAAATTTCATTTTCTATGAAAGGAACGAGTTTTATGAGCATTAAACCGAATATACTTTTATCAGAGACTTTTTGCAAATAAGCCACTTTACCTTTCGCCCTTCAATTGAAACGCACACTTGAAATGCAGCCTCTACCTGTGCTTGTACATGAGTGTTGTTGGGCAAAATCTCATCGGATGGTGCTAGCTGTAGCAAGATATCTGATTGGCTGATGGCAATTAGGGGACCACCTACCCTGGATAATAAACCAATCAAAAGTCTTCAGAGTTTTGTCCTTACCTATTGGCCAGGAACTGAAGATAGAACCTTGTTGAGCTGAATGTTTGAGACCCGGGCAGAGAGTACTTTGAAGAATCGTTAATGCTAGCCTTTCTTGAGGGAATTCACTCAAAATCTATACATCTCCTGAATCTCATTTTTCATGAAAATGTCATAGAACCTTATTGAACTGAGGTGACGATATATTGCTTCTTCTTTCTGCAAAAATAAGAGCTATCTTGCTACTGTGGCAATACTGTAGAAGGCATTAACAGGAAATGAAAGACTGGAACCTTGAGCAAGCACGAATGTTCATGCTAATTAGTAGAAAAGTACTCCCATCGACCCTACACGCTATGATAACCACGATGAAAGTTTTCTCTCTAAAATCACGAATCCTTCTTGGAGTGGACCCTGGGCTTCCTCACGTAGGAGTCTCGAAAGAAGGCCACGAATAGAGCCAAATAGGAGAGGTACATGAGAATCGATATGATGGCGTTGTGGGGCGTGACCTGACACGGGTGGCCGTAGAATTTGAAATATCCGGCCGAGAGGCTGACGATGAAGCCCATTATCATCTGGAGGATCTGCAAGGTAGTGATGAGCATCGCGATCTCTCTCCTCACGTTCACGCCGAAGGTCCTCGCCGCGAAGTACGAGTACATGATGGAATGCACCACCAGATTCATGGCAGTGAACCAAAGTCCCGTCGACGCATACTCGCTGTGAGCGTGCCAGCAGTAGAGGAGGACTGTGACGTGGTGATACCAATGCAGGAACCTCAATGGTTGTTTCTTGAGAAGAAGGAAAAGCGTGTCGCCCAATTCTGGCGCTTTGGAGAGGGCAAATAGAAGATTCCAGTAGCTCGTTTCTCGATTTTCTATTAAATACCTGCAAAGAAGCAAACCTTAGAATGAATCTCGTTTCCAATAGGCAATAAGATTTCTACTGTTCGTGATGACTGTCTGCGTTTGTAAATTAATTTTAATCTTAGCAAGGAAGCATGGTGGACCGTGATTCATCGGAGAAAATATTTTAAAATGTTTTTATGCGTTCCAGAGAGAAATCGGGCACGAGACCCTTCTCGATGCCTGAATCCTATTTACACGGGGCCTGTCGAGGAATAACTCGCATCGAGCGCAAAAGAATTCATCACTTGCCACGCTGTCCATGGAAAACCTGGAAGTTGAATCTTTTATGTTTTGAAGAGTCCTGCTGCGTAATTGAAAGTTGCCCGCCCGCTTCGTTCGGTAGCGGCTTATTGCGTTGATGAGTCCATGACCATGAGGCCGTGAATCGTATTATCTGAATGATGCCACTGCTGCGGTCACCCATGACTCGACGGAAGGTCAGAGCGATCCAGGTTGCAAGTTCTGCTTCTCGAAGCGCCTTGTCGGCAAAATTGGATCCTGTTCCGGTCCTGTTCCGGTCCGAAGTAAGTGTGGTCGAAAGACGAAAATTTCACGAACTTTGATTAAACCGATCCCTATACATTCAGGGAAACCTCGGAACTCAACGAAATATTGGTATCCGTTAACTTTTTACCGATCTTAATTACAGCTTTATTAGTTTCGAGCGTTCCCTTAATCTCATTGAATGAACAGCCCCGAGAGAAGCCATTTGTTGCTCCGCGTAAAAACATGGAAACTGAAAACATTATCGGTCGGTGACTTTGTTACCTTCGTGCGAAAAAAAAATCGCGCTTAAGGTGAGAAATGAAAGCATCTGCCCGTTGAGTAGTGCCCGGCGTCTATATTGTTGCATGTGGGTCTGCAGATGAGCTTCCCATAGATAAGGCACATGTTGACCTGAAAGTCTCAACGGTATCTACCGATAACGCTCTCGAACTTCTCGTGAAATTCCCCTTTTTCACTCATCGCCGTCATTTTCTTGCGGGAGGAAGAAACGAATTGTAAAGTGCAATGCGCACGAATCGATGAATGCGAAATGACCACACTCTCTCATGGGAGAATAAACGAGTGCATTGGAGACCACGACGATGCTGGCTGGCGTAACGGATCTAACGCGATAACAGAAAATTCGAAACGTGACGAAACGAAGTTTCAAAATCGATGAGCAAGGAAAACAAGCGGCTTTACGGAAAAATGCAGAAGCGCAAAGAAGCAGATGCAAACGTGGACCCTTCCGTCGCGGGGCACCGCGGCACCCACCCAGCCTCGTCCGTAGCGCAGCCTTCCGTTACCCAGGACAACTGGCTGAATGCATATCGATTTCTCCACTCCCGCACTCGAAGTGCTCACACACCACGTAAACTCTCTTCTTGACCCTCTCCACACCATTATATAAGCGAACATCTCATTCTATTTACTTCCACTCTATTCACTTCTAGTCACTGCAAAGTGGGGGGGGGGGGAGAAATTTGCACGGTTCATACGCATGTAATGGGAATGAGATCCTCATCCATTCATACCTCGACATAACGAAGAATTTACGCCGATGATTGCTTTTACGATATATGTAGCTGTTCGTGACTCAACTCACGAGGCAGAGCAGATGCTGTAGTAGTATCCTTTCCCCGACAAAGCATAGAGGAACCAGGGGAGAATTTTGGTGGCGGCGATGAGGCTGAACACGGCCAGGCTGATGTTCCAGACGAGGAGAGGCCCTTTGCACGTCAGCTTCTCCTTCTTTTCCCTGTCGCGTTTCAACCACGCGATGGCTGCGATATACAGCGACAGCCACACTGCACAATAGCTCTGCCAGTTCGCCTCCATCCAGGCCCTGGCTGCTTGCGGGTCGAATCGGTAGTCCGTAGGAAATTCGCCACGGTTTTCACTGAGGTAGGACTGGGTTTCCATATCGCTGCGTCGATTCGAGTATTGCGGAGGCCGGGGAGCGTGCGACTGAATGAGGGACTCCCTCTACGACTTCTTTGCCCGCGAAAACGTTAGATAGCGCTTTATTTGTCCGCTGAATCATGCTCGTGCCCCCTTGTGAGTTATGTCGCTCGAGTTTGTCAATGATTCTCATTTCGTGAGAAACGTATCCGTGCGTCATGTGTTAACCCGACGATCCGGGAAGCATTCCTGTCACAACTTTAGATGCGCATTTCCCCAAAACGACCAGATCTTGGCTGCCCTCAAGGAAAAACTCGCTGAAAATGCAATTTCATATTTTAATCAAGCGAGGTGAGCTCCTCTCACCTTTGTTCCACCAATATAAATATATTCCGGAAAGGGCTCTCTTGCACACATACAGGGAGGGGGGGGGGGGGGGAAATAGTGCTGAACCTTATCGTAGAAATTCATATATACAAGCATCCAGCTACTGCTGATACTGCTATGGCCAATTCTTGTGGCCGCAAATACCATAACCAAAGTTACCACCCCAGCAGCAGCTCTAAGCCTACTTCCGCATCCGAAGTCCAAAACCACTCCATGCAACCTGCCATGTCTGTGGCTGAATTAATCAGTCCCCTTATCTTCCCTTCTGTATACTTAAAATACGTTCTCATATCTTTATCTCCAGATGTAACTTTGATAATTCAGCGCAAGGCTTGTCATAGTATGACAGCTCAGTATCTTATCTAAACCTCGGAGTTTCTTACTTCCTGCTATGAATATAAATCGTGGGTTATGTAATACCCCTGTTTTTTTTTTACCATCTAAGTTCAACTGGAAAGAATGTTACTGTCACTCCTCTTCATGATTTTAACATTTAAAATAATATTCCTGACTGAAACCAAGCTGAATTCATTCAGCGTCAGACTCATGCTTTTCCCTACCAAGGTTCTACCCTGGTAGGGAAAAAAAAGTGCGATAGGAGCGAATACATGGTGTTGGTATGGTAGACTATGGTGTTCACAACCTTTGCATTCAGACTCACTTTCCCCAAAGTTGGAAGATCTCCATGATGACCAGCCTGAATATCCTGCTGTCCCGGTTGGTTCAGTCATTCTTTGTTCTCTCCTGTCTGTCTGAAACTTGGGTAGTCCGACGATAACTCCAAAAATATGGACCTGATCGCATGGAAATTGGCACGAAGAAAGGTTATGTGCACGACACTGGCTAAGTTAGCTTCAGGCGAAATTCGCTCCAAGAAAATATTTATCTCTGATTTTGATGCTCGAAATTTTCTCCAAGTGGGACGGGCACAGTCAACGCCAGCCTCCCCGAGTCTCGACCCGAAGGCGCATGCGCCACTCTAAGCCAAGATGGGGGAAGGAGGTCTCATCTCGAGCAAGAACTGCCAGTTCATTTTCAACCTTCGTAGCTGACGTTGGATATCCAGTGTTTGCAAGCGGGAAGAGGAGAATGGACTGGGCTGCTGGTTGACTTCGTGCGATGTCACTGGCTTTGGCAAATGCACGATCTAATCTCCCGTCGTTTGACCTGCCTGTTAGATCACCCTGTTTCCAAACGTTAACGGAACTCACTCGCTGTTGGACTGGGCTTTCCTAGCTTGTTCTGTTGCCATTTGCATTCTCAACCCCTGCAGATCATTAATTAGTATATGATTGTGGTCATTGAAGGAAAACTGGTCTATCGACAAATAATTTTCGAGAAACCGGTAGTTGTTCTCATGGACTTAGACTCTTATTCCTTACATTTAAAAAATAGGCTTTTGTTGGTCCATCCACAGAATTAAACTGGCCTCAAAAAACCGGTCCGTCTACGTAACGTTTCCCCGCTTTCAACTCATTCCCTGGCTCAGGCTGGCTTAGATTTCAACCTCATCCTGGCGGGTCATTTTCGGTAAAATTCCAGAAAATTTTCTTCAGAATTCATAGCTGTCAATCATAACGTAATGATGTAATACACAGATAAATAATACACCATTCCAAAAACTGAGCGCTATCCCCGAGCTTGAGTTGGTATTGCCCTCTCTCTTCTTGTCCTCGTAATTTTTCGAGTGAGAAAGTGGAAAACTGGGAATGACATGGGTTGAGCATATAGGGGCTACATGTCTCGCCTTAACGAAGCATCGGCGTGTGCGCAGTTGGGCGGTTTGGGGAGCTAAAAGTGTTCGAATGGTCGTAACCTATAACACGATGACTGCCGAAACCTATTTTGCCTTTCTTTCTCGAAAGGTCAAGGTCACAACACGCGCGCATGCCGGAAGTCGTATGGCCCAGCGAGTGCAACAGCGTGCAACCTTCCGGCAACCCGTACATAATTTATTGATTATGTACTATTATGTATTATTCATTACAATAAATTGTAAAACGAAAAAGAAGACGACCCAAGGATGGAGGGATGGGTCCCAGGAGATCCCAGAAGGCATTGTCGAGATTATTTTCATCTGGACCTCCATATCTTGAGAAAGAGGTGGGCCTAATGGGTCCCCCCTTAGGTTTTCATATGCTCGGCGTTACGAGGCATCAAACAGGATTGGTTTTGAGCCACCCAGCGTACAAAACCGGAGCTTAAAACCAGGACACAAATATGCAATTCTCGTACTCAGTCGCTTACAAACTCCTGCACCGCAAAAAAAAAATTAAATAAAAAAGATTCTAATTTTTCGGGACTTTTTTGGCCAAAAGCTAGGGTCATGCTTTCACTGGGTAAAATGAATTAAATTTACTTTTTAATTCACTAATTTCAAGATCATGTCAGTGACTCGCAACTGACCAAAACCGTATTGATGTCAATAAGCACTAACGTTTCGGACGACTGGTCAGAGTCGAGAGGTTTGCAGGAAAACCATTTCTTCTTTTTGTACCGCATGGGGAAGTCGCATCGACTTTGAGGAAATAAAAATAAAACGGTGAAATGCGACTGAATGAATTCATTGCCGTATCATACGAATATCCTTTTAATTTAATAAAATGCACTTCCTGCCAGTCGTCAATTATGCCCACTGATGAGTTTTCGCCGCATCATGCTTTTGTCCTTCCACGCTAATTGTCTGCGGTATACCATGAAGGCTGGCAATTACTCTGCTATAATTACTCGGCAATTACAAGTCCCGAAGATCTCCGTGTTTCAGCTGGTTTAACGGGCAATTTTCCTGCCATCTGTGGTCGGGCGTTGGAACTAGAAGCGAGTCAGGCCACAGGTAGACTTGTGAAGAGACATTGGTTTGCGTATTAGTCTCTAGATGGCAGTGCAAACGTGAGTTTTTCATCTTCATTCATCGTGTTTTTCCTGGTCTGTATTCCTTTCAGATGACGGTATGCCACCAAGATCATGACATAGTTGAGCAATCGAGTTGTCTTACTACTTAATGGTATTTTGGTTCTGTTCCGGAGAGAGAGAGAGAGAGAGAATGTATTCTTGCTTTTAGACGTGTATGCTCCTTTTTGGGGGTCAATGGAATACAACCCTGGAAACAAATGACTGCTCGTTAACATGTTAACCATTAAACTTCTGATGAACACGTCAAGCATTACATGCGCACATTTTCGTAACTACTTATTTTAACTTGGGGTCGTTGCTCGACCAGACCTAGAAGCATCTTCCACCGTTCGCAACCCTTGGCAACAGCAGGTGGTATTCCGAGCCTCTCGCGACAAAGATTCACGATAGGCGCATCGCCCATCCACCATTCACGAGAGGCCTACCGACTGGTCTCTTGAGGGTCATTTTAGATCGGAGAACGTCTTTCGAGAGTCTCTCGGGGGGGAGGCATGCGGGAGACGCGTAGAAATGAACGGGCTCGGGATCTCTCGATCCGAATGCGTAGCTGCTCGACTGGAGGTTCTCAGGGATGGAGGTACACAACATCCTCCCACTCGGCGCGACATCCGACACCCGCCGCCAAAACCTCATCGAGGCAGCTCGTATCCGCGACCTGATCCTTTCGATCATTGCCCACAATTTGTGACCGTAGGTGAGGGTGTGGAGGTAAATGCTCCTTAAAACCGAAAGTTTTGCCTCCCTGGAAATGTCAGATCTGAAAACCACAGTCCTCTAGAGCAGTGATTCTCAATCTTTTCGATCCCGAGGCACACTTTAACGATTGTAAAACGATCCGCGGCCCACCTTTACAACTGCAAAGCGATTCGCGGCCCACTGTAGACTTAAAAGCTATATAATTTTTGTTTGCCTAGCTGTTGATTCCAATTTTTAGATTTACGGATTTTTGTCACGGCCCACCCACGACACCTCCGCGACCCACCAGCGGTCCATCGATCGAGAACCTCTGCTCTAGAGTCCCCACAAGACTGCGGAAGCCCTAGAGATGTGGCTATCGATCTCGTTTCCGTATTCCGTTTCCAGGTGAAAAGGACGACATCGTTGACAAAGAGATGTATCCTTACCTCGATACTGATACTATCCCCATACACGAGGAACAGGAAAGGCGAGAGAACGCAACCTTGACGGAGCCCAGCTTACCGCTCTTCCTTTTCACTCAAACGCAGCACCTGCATTCACTGCATCGAATGACTCGCAGGAGCTTATCGTTAGCCGTATACTCTCGCAGCACTCCCCACGGCTTCCTCGAAGTACACGGTCGCAAGCCTTTTCGAGATTCGCGAAAACATGACGTGCTCTTCGTGAAATCCGTCTTGGTCCTCTTCCGATGGCTTCTTCAAGGAATGCACACGCTCTCCTTTCGAGCACCTCCACATTGACCTGAGAAACTGAGACACTGGTAATTGGTACACTTCCTAGAGCCCCTTCTTAGAGGGAGAAACCGTTACATCGATCTGGCAATCCATAGGTGCCGTTCCCGATCCCCAAGGGGTTCGACCTACCCTGTGCAATGAACACCCATCGGTGCCCATTGTTATTGTTGCCTTCGCCCGGATTTCATTCTCGCCAGAAGACTTTCCATTCTTCGAACCAGCCATGTTGTGTTGAACTGCCCAAGTATCGCATCAAGTATTATACTAATTAGAACCTGATCTCAGTACCTCGAAAACGGAATGATCGATTTCAAAATCCCAAGATTATTCCACCTTGGAGATGGTCGCTACTGTTACGAATTTGCAGGCGGATGTTAAAAGATTGGGCGCGTTTTCGTGGTAGTCGTGCCAAAAGTTTGCGCCATTGAAGTCCATTACAATGGTTTCCTTGCCCCTCCCAAAAACTAGAGAGAAACATGTCCCAAGCACCCCAAACAAAGGGGCAACGTGAAGAGAGCTCCACCCTCTTCGACCCCTAAATTTATTGGCTGGCTTCCTAGAATTTCTTTGTCCCGTGGGGACCGGTTCAGAGGCCTCCATTTTTTCCCCTCTCCCCTAGGAAAAAAAGGAAGATAGTATTCTGTTATGATCGATTTGGCGTGGAGGTCTTCGATACTCTCATCCGCAAGATAGCCGTCGAAGAAGATATCACTTTCTTGTGGCATTTTTCGGTTATCATGTCTATTCCGCTTTACGGTAGACATGAAAGCAAATTTTGGCTGAGAAGAAAGTGACTTAATAATTTCTGTTGCCATTCTCGCTGAAGCTCCGAAGACCGGTACTCAAAATAGAAACCTTGAGTCCTACTTAGATCAGGACGATATGACGCTAAGACAGGCCCAAGCCAAATAAGCAGAAGTATGACTGCAAGGAGAGGACTAATATAGGTTCAGAAAAAACCATTGATGTCGCGGAGCTTTACGTGCCCAACTTCCTCGTCACACATGCTGGGTGGCATGAAAAAGAATGACCCAAGTGACTATTGAGGAAAACGACTTTCTTCTCTCTCCGACCCCTACACCACTCTCCTATCTCATGTACCAAACCAGGTTGATTCTGACCTCATGTGCTTGGAAGAGAGAACCTCCTTCACGGATGTGATGAGCGGGGGTTGAGCATCCCCCTCGAGGTATTCATGTCTTAGCAGGGGAGGAATCGAATGAGAAACACGAAGAAACCAGACGGTGAAGGCGAAGTCCCTTTTCCTTTCTCGGCTAAAAAGGACGACTTCATTTTTCAGTGACTCCCGTATTCAACGACCTGTTAACTCTTTCGGACCTTTTGGTTTTTCCTTTCAGGGGAGGCTTTTGCTCTTTTTTCAGGGGGGTACTGAGCTTCCTTAATGAAAGAAAATTTTCTGATCCGTTCGGCCGAATACTGAAATATATTAGCACTTAAACTGTAAGTGTATGACCTACAGAAAGGCCATTTCATATCAGCAAAAAATCCCTGAAAGGTTCTGGTCCATCACGAAATGCATCAATACTAGCACGTTACTTTCACATTCCACCATTTCCGACTTCTAGTGATGTTTTTCTGATCTATAAATATATGGATTAATTCAGGGAAAACCTTTTCCAGCCTACCTGCCAATCGTGAAAAATCGAGTTTACGCATCTTGTTAGGTAGCATGAGTCTCCTATTGCTAATGGACTCTTTCGGCTTGTCATAATCGAGAATAACTGAAATCCACCCATACTTTGGGCTGTTCAGAGAAAACGTCTTTAATGCTGAAATGTGTGACTATTATAATAATAAACTTCCTATTATTAACAGAAAAGTCAACAAGATTTTGGCATAAAACCATCCAGTCCAGGGCTTTGATTTGATATGATTTGATCAATAAAATTCTGCTGTGGACCTCTAGTATTGATGTCTCGTCCTCTCATCTCATCCTCTCATCTCATCCTCTCATCTCATCCTCTCATCTCATCCTCTCATCTCATCCTCTCATCTCATCCTCTCATCTCATCCTCTCATCTCATCCTCTCATCCCTTCCAGCGTCGATATACGTGGTATTCAGGCACTTATTTTTCCTCAGAACTTCAAGGCCTTCTTGAATCTTTCCCCCCAAAATCTAATTTATTCATGACGCATGCAAGTTACTGTAACGTGTTCAGATGTAATGAGATGTGACTTTTCTGTCAGAAGCAGAATTCATGTGCGGATAATGAGATTATCTGCATTATCCTTTCTGGAGTAATTCAACTTTTGGTCCCTCAAAGGGTTGCAAGCATCTCTTCTCCTCAGCCGCTTCTCTTTTTTTCATTCCATTTGTGTCGGCTCATTCTCCATTCATAAACCATTCATTGTGTCACGCGTTGCATACTGATATCCTTCTCATGTTCTCCGTTAACGATTTCACGGAAAATGCATAGTCAGCTGAGAATTCGAGACGAACAGCGTCTCGACGCTTCCCAAATACGAAGTATCATCGAGAGTAATGGCACGGACGGCAGAAATTAGATTATTGATCCTTCCTTCTACCGGCATCACTAATTCATCCTCTCTTGATGTGATCTGATGAAATTTGTATGAATCGTTCGCATCACCTTTCCGTGAAGGTCGATCGAAAGACTGAGACACAGGATTCATCGTGTCATTTCTCCATCGCCACGCACATCAACCTCGTGACGTCACGGCGACGTCACAGCGAAGTCGCAGGCGAACGAGGCGGGAACGCGACGTCGAGATGAAGTCGCAAACGCGTCAAGTCGAAGGGTGAAGGCTCCCCACGATCGAGCGAGAGTCTGTCGTCCGATGCCACTCAGCGGCATTTCAGCGGCATTCAGCGGCTGATGAAAGAAACAATGCTAGGGGTCGTATTGATGTTTACGTCATAATGATATGATCAAGGTGAAAAAGAAGTGGTATGCCATTTTCGCTAGATTGACATAAAAAAGCACTGACTGGTTCACTCATTCAAGTCATGGTTTGACATGAGCATGAGAATGAGACACTCGTATACAGGGTGACCAGAAAGTCCTGTCCATCAGCATTTTTGCAGCAGCTCTTTTAATATTTACCCCTGAACAACAAGTTAGCAACTGAAGGAGCACAATAGTCTTAGCAAACGACGAAGTTTAGTAATATTTTGTCTGGAGAGATATCACATTTATAGTATCTTGTCCAGGGGGGACAGAGGACATGTACACACACACATTACCGTCCTCGTGTTACTGAGTTCATGTTCCTTTTGACAACTCCGCTCACCTACTGCCCAATCGCCGATGGCTATCGAAGAACTTGAGAGTTCTCTTTTTTTGCAATTCCTTTTTACAAAAGTATTAGGGAAATGCTTCCGAAGCTGCTGTGAACGTGCCGTTACCCGCGGTTCGTATTTTGTGCTTCACCTCCTTCACAGGATAATTCCAAGAAAGCAAAAAAAAAAAATTTTTTTTTAGGTATTCCTTTTCGTCCTTGGTTTCAGAGTTGAACTCGAGGGGAATCCCTTGCTAGGGGGTCTTCTTAGCCAATTTAATAGATTTGTTCAGGTAGCCATTGCGGAAGAAGTCGACGAAGAGGGCGAAGTAGGAGAAGTACCCTAGGAGCGCCATAGTAACAACACCATCGCTGACACGACACGAGAGGCCCAGGAGCTTGTAGAATCCGGCGGAGAGGCTGACCGTCGAACCCACCACCATCTGGAGGATCTTCAAGGTCGTGATGCACATGGCCACCCCTCCCCCCACCTTCACTCCAAGGGTGCTTGCTGTGTAGTACATAATGGAATGCACCACCGGGTTCATAGTCGAGAACCAAAGACCCGTCGACGCTCGCTCGCTGTGAGCTTCCCAACAGGCGAGGACCGTGACGTGGTGATACCAATGCAGGTACCTCAAGGGCTGCTTCTTCAGCACTACGTATCACCTAGTTCGACGGCCGAATTACACAATATTACGAAAAGGGAGTTCCAGTAGCTCGTCACCAAGTTTTCCGTCCCGTAACTGAAAGTGGATAATAATTCCTTTGAAAGGAAGGGCAACGAACTTCTAAAGAGGTTCGATTCAACTCGATGGAGTTGATTTGAATGAACCCAAGGTCATTTGGCTAGTCACAACCGACTTTTCTTGTCTTTCCATTGTTGAACGATTTATTTCGGTAGTTAAATATTTTCCCCCATGATTTCTTAGTATTTACCTCGTGCTGATCCGACGATCTTTGAAGGGAAGAATCTCTCCGTTGCATAGAACATTTTCATGTAATCTACAACTATTGAATACATATTTCAATATCCTAACTTGAGTGGCTCGACCAGATGAGTCGGAAGTTTGAATTTGAATTTGTCTCATGCGCCGGTTCAGAGGTAGTTATTTCGACCTGCTACGTTCCAGCATGCTGACAGAAAATAAATGAAATGAATAGAAAAAATAACTGTAAAAATTTTCCAATTGGATACGTTTGTACTCTGTCGGCTTTGGTTCTAAAGATTATCTCAAGGAACATTTANAGTACGCGTTTTCTTATCCATTAAAAAATACAAAAGAGTGACCCTATGGAAATAAAACTTTTCACACACATAGACAATGATGTTAGGGAGCAAAACTGCATGAAAAGATTGCTAGAGCTTTTGTATTTATATATTTAAAAATATGGGACAAAAGTGGACAGGACTTTCTGGTCACCCTGTATATATGTTTGGTTCCAGAAATAATTAGCGCACTGTTTCATTCACCGCGTAGCCGAAACAAAGAAGCTCCTAATGTTTCCTGCGAAGAGGGAGTTGCGAGCCTTCCATGTGGCAGCCGATGTAACGCAATATGTTGTTCCCGAAGTATTTCGTCCGGGGATCACATGTTCCTTGAGGGCAAAAGATGCCCTCTGCTACGGTAAGTATACGGCCAATGAAAACTGCCAGAAGAGTAGTATGAGCAAGCTCATGCCACGAGCATGGGCCACTGACGCAGACGTCAGTGCATTGGTATCAATTATAGTACAGACAGTTTTTGCATTCGAGACAATTTAATGCGCACCAAAAAAGGTGTGACTTAGGCGATTTCTTGCGATCCATAAGAAGTCGGCATGATTGCAGGGCACCTATCAGAGAATAATAATACAGCGAAAACTCGTTAACTCGAATTTTTAGGGACCGGGCGAATAATTTCGCGTCATCCGAAGTTCGAGTTATCAGGAATACCCCCCCCCCCCCCCACCCTAAAAAAAAACTCACTTTAAAGGACATAACCAAAGGGCGATTTTTCCGCCCTCAAAAATCCGATTTCACTGAGCGACGACCCTCCCATTATAATTGGATTTTATTCATCTCGAGTGAAACTTTTTAACTCCATATGCAAAACTCACTTATTGCAAAGCCTTTCCTCCAGGGCTCTTTTGGTTTTATCCATTTCCGACATGTAATCAGTGATCTTCATTTGCTTTGCAAAAGAACTCGCAATAGAGAAGTGGAAGTTCCCTAATTTCCCAACTGCCTCGAACAAGTCGACTGGCACCGTGTGAACTCGAGAGAGCCGCGTCCACCTCCAAGCTTGGCTGTCTTCATCGTCTTGCGCTTGCTGGAAATCGGCGCTTCTCGTGTGCACTCAAAACCTTATCTTTGCTGCGTATAATGGTAGAGAGAGTAGAGGCAGGAATCCTGAAATTCTCTGCGATGTCTTTCTTCTTCAGCTTCGACAATCCGAATCAAGTGCACCTTTTCTTCGAGCGTCAGAGTCTTCAATTTCCTCTTGAATGAGCTCATTCCACACAAATGGCGTAAAGGAAGTAGAATATGACTAGAATGGCTCGGAAGAGTCTCCAATTTCCTCTTGAATGAGCTCATTCCACACAAATGGCGTAAAGGAAGTAGAATATGACTAGAATGGCTCGGAGTGAGAGCGATAGATAGACAGAGCGAATGTTGGAGGTTGCTTTTTGTAGTCGAAACTTTTCGGTTTTAATCCTCAGGTTTAATCCCCTCCACAGGCGTCTGTGCGGGAGGTGGGAGAAGTAGAAAATGAAGAAAAAAGAAACAAAAGAACATCCGAACGTGTTTGTTGTCATTCATCCAATTCAAAAATCGAAAAGTCCCAAAAGAAGAATTTTTACCCACCTCACCCTGAATTCGAGTTAACCGTGAGAAATTCGTCATCGGGAGTGAAAATTTCATTCGAGATATCCGGAAATTCGAGATAAGCGGAATTTCGACTTATCAGGATTCGAGTTAACCAGATTTCATTGTATACGCATACCGCAAAGAGGCATCCTCGAATTAATTATACTAGGCGATACTAGCCAGCGCACATCTCGTACGATTGGGTTTTAAAAAAATCACATTAGAAGACTGGCTGTATTTTGTATAATTTTTCAACGGAAATCGATTCGTACACATTTATTCCTAAGGTGGTGTAAGGCTGCAAGCTGTACATATTCAAGATTGGCGGAAAGCTAATTTAGAGCTTGCTCAGCAGAATACCAATCCTCCCTCATGGAGAATAAAAATTATTATTTGATTTATGTGCACATTTTATTTTAAAGGACCCCCCTTTAAAGTAAACGCTTATTTAGTCGGGGGGGGGGGGGGGACGAAGTTTAGTAATATTTTGTCTGGAGAGATATCACATTTATAGTATCTTGTCCAGGGGGGACAGAGGACATGTACACACACACATTACCGTCCTCGTGTTACTGAGTTCATGTTCCTTTTGACGACTCCGCTCACCTACTGCCCAATCGCCGATGGCTATCGAAGAACTTGAGAGTTCTCTTTTTTTGCAATTCCTTTTTACAAAAGTATGAGGGAAATGCTTCCGAAGCTGCTGTGAACGTGCCGTTACCCGCGGCTCGTATTTTGTGCTTCACCTCCTTCACAGGATAATTCCAAGAAAGCAAAAAAAAAATTTTTTTTTAGGTATTCCTTTTCGTCCTTGGTTTCAGAGTTGAACTCGAGGGGAATCCCTTGCTAGGGGGTCTTCTTAGCCAATTTAATAGATCTGTTCAGGTAGCCATTGCGGAAGAAGTCGACGAAGAGGGCGAAGTAGGAGAAGTATTATTTCGACCTGCTACGAAGGAGTTATTTCGACCTGCTACGTTCCAGCATGCTGACAGAAAATAAATGAAATGAATAGAAAAAATAACTGTAAAAATTTTCCAATTGGATACGTTTGTACTCTGTCGGCTTTGGTTCTAAAGATTATCTCAAGGAACATTTAGAATTCTCAAGGGTTATTTTTTTCTTTAAGATTGTCTTCCCTGTTCTCTAATAAAAAAAAAAGAATAACTCCGAAGAGCCTGAAGAATTAATTTGAATTCCAGAAGGCACCGATGCTCAAAACACGACCGCTGGACTCACGAGACGGAGCAGACGCTGCAATAGAACCCCTTCTCCGATAAGACGTCGAAGAACCAGAGGAAGATTTTTCAGGCTGCGACGAGACTGAAGACGGCCAGGCTGATGTTCCAGGCGGCTAAGGGCCTCTTGCAGGTCAGTCTCCTTTTTATTTTTCCTCTTTCCCCTCATCGCCTCGATCCCACGATCCCCGCGAGGTACAGGTAGGCCAACAGGGCGCAGTACTTCGCCCAATTTTTCTCGAACCTTGCACGGATTGGGACCGGATCGAACCGGTATCCTGCCGGAAATCGGCCACGATTTTCGCTCAGGAAGAAAGAGGAATTCATTTCTGGAAACGTCTACTGCTGCAAATACTGGATCACGATCGCAAATGAAAGAAATGACCCAGAGAGCTTCAATATCTCTCTCTGTGCTGAATCATTCGATTCACCTACAAGTTAATTCCACGATCGTTCCACCCGACGCACATCAGACAACGGAGAAGCTTCAGTCGCATCATTCTCTCGCATTTTCGTGTCAGTTGCCCGCAGTATGCTTCCGAGGTTGGGCATGATTTACCTGGATCGAATGGGAATCAGCCAAAAATTACCCGTTGCGGTACAACTGGTGCAGCAATCGACAACACATCGCTACGACATTTTTTTTTTCTCTCGTCCTTCCATTTTTCCATTTAAAAAGCGGCGTTGTACGGATCTCTCCCCGACAGCCACCCCGACCCGGCCGATATCTCATGCTGCATTTGCCAACCGAGGCCACCAGAAGTTGCATCAGAATACAGTCGTGACGTCAGCAAGTCACGTCACTTCTCTCAAGTCCATGTTTGGACGGCGTTAATTACCATTGAATTGCAAACGACGCGGAAATTTTTAAGTGCTGCGATGTCACATGTAGATTTCTAAAAGTGAAATGTGGAAGTAAGAAAGTGAAATGCGTCGCTCTGCTGGATGCCGGATTTTAGAGAAATTCGCGTTCGACATGAGAAACGTAAAACGTGGAATCGAGGCGAAAGCGATGCCCTCTCCTTCAATTTGTGTTACGCAGGTTTTAATATGCGAATTTGCGAGTGCATTTTTTATGCGACCTCACCGTTGCATTTACGTCAGTACTTGATTTCATACCATGGAGTATGAAAACTCCCCGCTGCAATTACGAGTCTCCGAGATTCGCGCAAAAAAAGTTAAATGCGACGTGGGTTTGAAATGCGAGACTGTCATGGATGAGAGTCAAAGGACTCATCATTACGTCGAGTCGTCCGGAAAATCCAACGAGACGTGCTCGTCGGATGCTGGACGTCGAAGAAAAGTTAATACGACAGAAATGGAATTCGACGGCCCGTGAAAACACGACCGTTTACATCGTATCGTTCGATTCCGAAAACATCGGGACGCGCGACTGAGCATCGGTGACGTTTTTCAGGTCGTCGCGACGGCCGCGGCTTCCCCGTCCCGATTCGGAAAGGAT